CCTGGCGGGATTGCCCCGGATCGGTCTCCTTAGTTGTTGACCGAGAGAAAGAAAGAGTCAAAACAGCTTGACAGGTTCTCCATGATGTCATGGGATTTTCTGTAACATTCCTGCAGTGTGTGTACCTATTGCTGCCAAAGGCTTTCAGCTCTTGTTTGTCTGAACCTTTATTTCACTTTCAACTTTGAAAGCTCTCTTTGCTAGCTATAAAATTCTGGTTGACTCTTTTTCCTAACAGTGTTTAAAGATACAGCTCTTCCCTCTTCACGCTCCTGTTGTTTCTGATGAGAAATCGCTCATCGTTATCTGTGTTCTTCTGTATTAAACACGTCCTTTTTTTTTTCTATGACTTTTTAAGATTGTCTCTTTTTACTGGTTTTGAGTCCTTGATGTGTGTCTCTCGGCTTCTTAGAGCTCATTGAGCCTCTGGAATCTGTGGGTTTACAGTTTTCATCACGTGTGAAACCTTTCAGCTGTTACTTCTTCACCTGTGTTTGCAACTTCCTCCTTTGAGAACGCCCGTCACACGTGGTCCGGCTGCTTGAAGGTGTCCCACGGCTCACTGATGCTCTTTTTATTTTTTTGGACAGCCTTTTCTCTCTGTGTTTAATTTTGGATAGTTCCGATTTTATGCCCTAAAGTTTCCCCCGTCTTTCCTTTTGCCTTATCTGCACGGTGTAATCCTTTCCCCTGTATTTTTCATCCCAGACGTAGTTTTCATCTCTAGAATATCCATTCGAATCTGTTTCATAACTTTCAAGCTTCTTTTTACCACGTTCAGTTTTTTCCACTGGCTTTGACCATACGAACTGCAGCCTCAGCGGCTGTGTTAACTAAGTAACTTCCGTGTCGGTTCTGGGTTGTCTCGGTGGCTTGATCATCCTCCGCACTTGTGCTCTCCTGCCTCCCTGGCTGCCTGCAGCCTCGCTGGATGCCAGACGTCCTGAGTTTTACCTTGTTGGGTGCTGGGTGCTTTTGTAATCCTGTGACTCGTCTTGAGCTTTGTCATGAGGTCTAGTGATGTTCCTCGGAAACAGTTTGACCCCTTTGGGTCTCGCATTTGCAGTTTGAGTGGTGGATCTGAACCAGTGCTCAGAGTCAGGCCCATTATTGTCCACTTCTGAGGCGAGGTGTTCCTGACTCTGCCACCACGGCCCTGTGGATTGGGTGTGTTTTCAGTCTGATTGCTGGGCACAGGCACCGTTTTGGGCCCTGCGTGAGTGTCGGGCCCTGCTCTCTCGTCTTTTCAGATGGTTTTTATTCCCCGACCGTGGGTGGCTTCCTTACCCCTGTGCTCTCTCTGCTGAGTCCTCGGGGGCCCTCTGAAGACCTCTGGGTTCTTTCTCCTGTAACTTTCCTCTTTGTCACTTTGGCTCGCCACCTTGATGTCTGTGGGCTTCATCTCTGCCTCCCCAGTCTGGGGAACCTGGCCCAAGGAGCCCGCCGGACACCCCTCCCTGGGCCGCAGCCTGGAAGCCCCGGGAGGGCGGGCCGCCCCCGGAGGGCTCGCCGCGCATGCTTCCTGCTTCTCAAGAATTGCTGTTCTTCACTGCCTCGTGGTTGGAGCCTTAAAAATCCCTTGTCATGCATTTTGTTGTTTCCTTTTTTGGTCGTTTCTGTGTGGAGGGTGGCTCTGGTCTGCATTATTTCATCTCAGCGTTCTTTGTAGGTAGAGCTCACGAGTCAGGAGGGGAATGTCCTGTTTTGTACAACGACCTTTAAGGGGGTATGCTTTATCATCTCAGTGAAGTTACTGTTAGGCTGTTGGAAGGGACTGAGAGAAACCAGCCCCGACAGTCATGGCTAGCAGACTGGCGATACTTGCCTCTTCTCTGTCCGGGAGGTAATGTCAGGGTTACACAGCGGTGTTCATAAGCAGGTTGCGTGTTTACTGATACGTTAGCAGATGAAAACCTTCTGAAAGAGGCAGAAGGTGGTTTTGTATTCCATATTTTAAAATGTGATTTTATTGTATAATAATGTT